GACAGATTACCCCAGAGGCCAGGAAGCCCTACAATTGCTGTTAAGAAGTATAGAGCAAGCCCACCTTTGGCGTATAGATTATGGGCAGCCCCTTGTTCTGGTTGTACTTTCATCTAGCTTTTCGCCCACTGCCGTGTTTTGGCAGACTGGTCCTATTTATTGGGTACATTTGTCAGCCTCCCCTAAGAAGGTAGTGACCCCTTACTATGATCTCATTTTACAATTGTTGTGGAAGGCACACAAGTTTAGCATTCAAACCTTTGGAAAGAGTCCTGATAAAATTATCCTTCCTTATGGTAAGGAGGAGGTGGAACATCTACAGATCTTCCATGATGGATGGACCCTGTTTATTACATCTACAGGCGCACAGTTTGATAACCAATATCCCAACAGCCCCTTGATGTCTTTTTTCAAACAACACCCTGTGATCTTTCCCAAGATTTTAAAGGAGAACCCTCTAGTTGGAGCTCGCTCAGTCTTTACAGATGGCTCCTCCAAGGGTTTCGCGGTGGTGGTTTCTTCTCAGGTGCAGAAGAGGGTACCCACAGGACAGATGTCAGCACAAGCCGCCGAGTTGTTTGCTTGCTTGATGGCTTTCCAAATGTTTGAGGGAGAGCCCTTTAATTTATATACTGATAGTGTTTATGTTGCCAACATTGTTAGACCTTTAGAAACTTCTCCATATGTTCTTCCAACCTCCCAGGTTCGTTCCTTATTAGTTCAGCTCCAACATCTTATTTGGCAGCGCATCCACCCTGCTTATGTGGGATTTATTCGTGCACATACTAACCTTCCAGGACCCCTTGCCCAGGGCAATGAAATTGCTGACTCCTTGACCCGCCCTAGGGTCTTATTTACTCAGGAGCAGCTGGCCCACCAGCTCCATGAGAGGTATCATCTAAATGCCCGCTCCATTAAATTTCACACTGGGTGCCCCTTATCCATAGCTACACAGATTACCTCTCAGTGCCCTGATTGTGCCCCTTATCATAATTCTCCCAATGAGGGGGTAAATCCCCGGGGCCTCAGGGCCAACCATCTCTGGCAAATGGATGTCACTCACCTGCCGCAGGCAAGGAAATTTAAATACATGCATGTCTCGGTGGATATGTATTCTAAACTGATTTTTGCCTCTCTCCACTCAGGAGAGAAGATTAAAGATGTTATTTCTCATTGCCTGCAGGCCTTTGCCTACATGGGCGTACCCGATGCCCTAAAAACGGACAATGGCCCTGCCTATGCCAGCAATCGCTTTGCTGCCTTTTGCAGGGAACATCACATTGTCCATTCTTTTGGTATTCCTCACAACCCCACGGGACAGGCTATTGTGGAGCGCACCCATGCCACTCTCAAACAGTATTTTAAGAAAATAAAAAAGGGGGAGTATGTTACCTCCCCCAATATTCAGTTATCCACCATACTTTACATTTTAAATTTTTTGACCATAGACCATAATAATTTGTCTGCTATGGAGAGACATTGGAACAAACCCTCCCAATCCTTGGGATGGGTCAGATGGAAGGATTTGATTACAGGAAAATGGCAACCACCCACTCCCCTACTAGCTAGGGTCCGAGGGGCTGTTTGTGTTTTCCCTCCAGGAAGTGAGAAGCCCATTTGGGTCCCCGAGCGGTGCATCAGGCATGTCGACCCCAATACTACTCCGGATACTAGTAATGCTCACCATGATAAAGATGATCCAACCATTGCTGAACACCCAGGTAAGGGAAATATGGGCGTTGGTGAGGATTCCCCCCCCATATTAACGCCAGTTAGTCATTCCAGCTCCCTGTTCATCAATTTTTATAACACCAATAATACATTGGAAGCAGCTGCTGCCAATGAGATTAAAAAGTCAAAAACTAGACATTCTGAGTTTCCCCCTCCTAAGCCTGATACCAGGGTCAGGAAGTAGGGGAATCCAAGAGATTCCCAGCGGCATACGCTTTTAATCCCAACACACCTTTATGCAAGTCCCAGGACAGCCTCCAAACAATACAGAGAAACCCTGACTCAAAAAAAAAAAATTGGTACTGGTATTAATTAAAGAAAAAGACAAAGACAAAGGTATATGGAATGGAAAATTTTGTTTACATTTAAGTTCTATTTTGTGAGTCATCTCTAAAAACTTTTGGCCAAAATCCTGGCCTCTCTACCTTGCATCTACAGAGTTACAAGGAGTAGGTACGGCTGTACCCCATGACTGTAGCTCAAATGGAGGAATGATAAAAACATATAGGACTTTTTAACCTTTTTAGTTCAAGGATTGGCTGGAGTTGTTCTTTTACATAGATTTCAATTAAGGAAGCTTCATTGCAACAGACTAATCATGACCTAGGGAAAAAGGATGACTGAAAGATGCATGTATGTTCTGAATGTATGGTGTGGCCACACCGGTATGTATGAAATGTGATTGCGAATGTGTGAGTGTGAACTGCTTATATGATTAAAAGGATACTTAAATCCCTTCAAAAATAGTTAAGAAGCTACCTAGATTGCGTTAAATATAGCCAAAAGGAACATCCAGCCAGTCTGTTAATGTTTTAACAGAAAAATTTAAGATGCAAATGAGGCCTTGTCAGCTAGTGAGAGCTCTACAGGTTAGATTGGGAAAGACTGCTCACAGACTTCAAATAATTTTCAAAAAGTTATTTGGACACAGTATAGTTTACAATCTTTGAGTGATTTTTCAGAAGTTTTTGGGAAATATTCAAAGGATATGTCCTTTTTAATGGACATCTACAAATAATCTAAGTAATAAGCCCAATTTACCTAGATAGTTAACCAAGGAGGGTAGACAAATCCTTCTACTGTTATGGCCCAGCTTCAACAGTTCAAAAAAAATTTTTTTAGAAAATAAAAAAGGAGAAATAATGCCCCCAGTCCCCACATGACTCATCAAATAATACACTCCTCATTTAAAAATTTTATAATGTGAATGCCAGTGAGTTTCAGACAGATTCTGGCATGATGGAACTTGAGCAACCATTGCTCAGGTCAAATGGAGACATCCATACACTAGACAGTGGAGAAGACCCTAATTTGGGGTCGAGGGCATGTTTGTGTTTTCTTGCAGGAAAAGAATAAAGCTTCGGCAGCTGTCAGACCATTTAGTGAGATGCATGGAGCAGAGAAAAACTGGACCTGAGACCATGGGAGCCTACCTAAGCCAGTTTGAGTGAGATCTCCTAAATCAGTGTTCCTGACCCTTGATGTCATCGAATCTACAGCCCAAAAAAAGAAAGAAAACAGTTGGTTCGAGATTTCCAGTTTCTCAACAGACCTGCTGCATCAACCTTCCGGACCCATGAGTTTTCATCATGAAGCTAACAGAGAAAAAAGGACCCATTTAAAGCATTTGGACATTGGTATGGACTATGATGAGTGGCAAAAGCCTCTTTTCAGTATTTGAACAGGACATGGTCACTTGATGGTTCCTGTTTCTAGAATCACGACTAGGCCATTGTATTTTTCTGGAGAAATGCAACTTGTCCTAATGCGACAACTATTGTTCATATTTTTCATAATGCTACATGTGTAACATCAATGATTGTGCCCAATGTATCTGTGCAAGTGCACTTTCTAAATGCTTTCCTGAGCAGATCTTGAAACGATTGGAAACTTTATCAAATTGTAAATGTAAATCACATGCGGGTTACCCTTGTAAGAGACGAAGGCTGGTAGAATGTTATGGCCCAGATCTGGTGATGGGTATGGTAATGGAGAGGCGCTATGTCGATGGGGGTCCTGGAAATGGTGGCAGTGGCGGTAGGCATTCTGGCTTTATGCCGAGCTCAAACGTGCCTTGTTCCAGAGACAAGAGATCCGTAACCAAGTATTGCTTAGCTTAGCCCATGGCAATCCCGATAGCCATGAAGGTTGGTTACAGATGATTTAAGGTTGGGGTATCTCCGATGACGGGCAACCTGTGGGGAAGACCCCTCCCACCTAAAACAGGGGTTCAAGGTCCCCCAAAGACGGGAAAGGGAGGGTGACCCTACTTGACCTAAGCCAGGAGTGCCTCATTTGAAAATAAAAAGGGGTGAATTGTGGGAACACCAGACCTTGAGCAGAGACCCACTTCCCCTTCTGCCTGGGAGTAGGCAGCTATAAGACAATGTTTAGTAAAAACATGTTTACTAAAAACGATACAATAAGTTCCTGGCCACTTCCCCTTCTGCCTGGGAGTAGGCAGCTGTAAGACAATGTTTAGTAAAAACCTGTTTACTAAAAATGATACAATAAGTTCCTGGGAAAGGCCTTCCCACGGAAACCGCCCTGACCTCGACCTTGTCCAGAGACTAACCGCACCTTCAAAAACCCACACACATCCACCTCTGGTGTCAGAGCAGGACCAGCCAGGGGAGAGGAGAGAGCAGAGGCTTCTCTGGTGGGAGCCTTTCTTAGGAAGTTTTTCTTGAACCTTTTTGGAGCCTGTTTAAAGTTCTCTTTATATCATTGAACGAGTCTCTGTGTTATCAATACCCGACACCCTCCGCACGTTCTCGGACACAGGCCGCGCAGCAGTCGTGACACCTAAGTAGAACAAACCTAGGATGCAGAGGGACTTTAAGAAGGCTTTAGGAAGACCAGCCATGTATACCCTGAATTTCTCTGTGGAAAGGGATCATGCTAGGGATTGAACCTAAAACCTCATGCACCCCAGGACAGCACTCCACCACTGAGCTACCATCCCAACCTAGAGGATTTGTCTTCCACACTGAGTCTCAAGGTGCCGTGTTGGATCAAGTTCTAGGCCAGGAGCCCTGGTTATCTGAGGTTTCCATTTCTGTGTATCCAGGCTGTCTCGTTTGGCATACCACAGCATCTGTCTGACACACAGAAATGTCCTTCACTTGAGTTAACGTGCTGGACTCTGCTTCCTGCAGGGCAAAGGGTGCTGCAGCATAGAGAAAGAAGAAGCAGGAAAGGCTGTGGCCCAGAACAGAGCACAGAGCTTCCCTCCAGAGACTTCACACCAGGTAGCTACTGCAGCACTCTTCCAGCAAAGCCCCCTTGAGCTTTATTGTATGCAGTGGAAACAGCCTAATTATAAAACAGTAGAATCTATGAATCAAACTTCAAGGCCTCTAGCAAAAGAAGAGCCCCTAAGGCTGGATAGTCATCCAATTCATTGCTTCTGTTTCCTGTTTCTGGAGAGCATGACTCCAATGAGGCCCAAGGCTGCCAAGCCCACTCCAGCAATGCCTGCCACCTTGACGGCATCTCTGACCTGCAACGGAAAAGAGAGTGAGTCAGGCTGTGTGTCAAGAATGTGGGAACAGGCTGTTCATTGAACAGGGTCACTCGGCTCATGGCACCTCATATGCCCCCTCATTTCCAGTGACCAAACTTGAGAGACAACAAATTTGGCAGGGGCAATGGGAGAAGAGGGCTGGGAGGGGAAAAATTGACAGAACCAGCTGGCCTGGGGTTTACCTGGACCCAAAATGAATTCAGCCCCAGACTATTTAAAGCACAAAAATCTTTGTAAGGCATCTATGGAAAGAACAGTAAGATGACATCAGGATAATGAAGATCCTGGAAACCAATGGGAAAGTGCAAAGTCAGGAAGAAATTGCAATGGAGAAATCAAAAGAAAATCTGTCCTCCATGACCTCACCTCATGCCATGTTCCAGTGTCTGTGCCTGCCAACTATGGATGTGTTCCCTTTAAAAGGTTGGGGTTTTACTGGTTTTTGTCTGATTGTTTTTTGGTTTTGGCTTTGTTTTGCTCTTCACTTGTTTTTCTCTTTTGGAGTCAGGATCTTTCTATGTAGCACCTTGAACTCAAGATTCTCCTGCCTCGGCCTCCTGAGCACCAGGATTAAAGGCATGGTTGCCCCTATTCCACAGTTCTCCTTTTCTTTTTCTTTTTCTTTCTTTTTTTTTTTTTTTTTTTTTTGGTTTTTCGAGACAGGGTTTCTCTGTGGCTTTGGAGGCTGTCCTGGAACTCGATTGGTAGTCCAGGCTGGTCTCGAACTCACAGAGATCCGCCTGCCTCTGCCTCCCGAGTGCTGGGATTAAAGGCATGCACCACCAACACCCAGCTCCTCCTTTTCTTATTAAAAAAAAAAAGTCTCATGTAGGCCAGGCTGGCCTCAAACTTGGGCTGACTGTATAGTGAAGTGACTCCCTTGAGAACAGCGCATAGGTGTGTTGCAAATAGAGCTCCTTAGTCAGCAAGGCCCTTTGGAGAATCCCATCCATTTGTCAAGGACCTAAGGATACAACACTGCAGACTCCTGCACTGACCTTAGGGAGCTCATGGGCTTCAGGCTTCTCTAACTTTTGCTGTACTTATTCTATGGAAACTCTTGGTTCTGCCTTGTTAGTTGTGATTATACCTGAGTTTACTGGAAACAAAAACCTCTACAGAAAAACTAAATTTCTGTGATCTGTTGTCCTTGGCTGCCTTTGCAGTCATCCCAAATAAGCAGGAGGAACTCACGAAGGTTAATGGATATTGCTTATTCAATACCAAAAAGAGATAAATATACTCCAAAGAACTTAAGAATAAAGAAAATGGGGGCTGGAGAGATGGCTCAGAGGTTAAGAGCACTGACTGCTCTTCCAGAGGTCCTGAGTTCAATTCCCAGAAACCACATGGTGGCTTACAGCCATCTGTAATGAGATCTGGTGCCCTCTTCTGGTATGTACAGACATACATGGAGGCAGGATGTTGTATTCATAATAAATAAATAAATCTTTAAAAGAAAATGGTTTCTCTCTTTTTTTTTTTTTTTTTTTTTTGGTTTTTTGAGGTAGGGTTTCTCTGTAGCTTTGGAGGCTGTTCTGGAACTAGCTCTTGTAGACCAGGCTGGTCTCGAACTCACAGAGATCTGCCTGCCTCTGCTTCCCGAGTACTGGGCACCACCAACACACCAACACCCGGCTTTAAGAAAATGGTTTCTTAAAAGATGACACTAAGCTGGGCGTTGGTGGTGCACGGCTTTAATCCCAGCACTCGGGAGGCAGAGGCAGGCAGATCTCTGTGAGTTCGAGGCCAGCCTGGTCTACAGAGTGAGTTCCAGGACAGCCTCCAAAACAATACAGAGAAACCCTGTCTTGAAAAACCAAAAAAAAAAAAAAAAAAAAAAGATGACACTAAAACCCTATTGGAACACAGAAGGAAAAAGAGATAGGACACGAAAAGTCAGACATTTCTCTGGCACTAGGACATGAACACTCAGATACTTTTCCAATATCAAAGTATCAACAGCCGGGTGGTGGTGGCGCATGCCTTTAATCCCAGCACTTGGGAGGCAGAGGCAGGTGGATCTCTGTGAGTTCGAGGCCGGGCTCGACCGACAGCCTCCAAAACAATACAGAGAAACCCTGTCTCGTAAAACCCAAAAAAAAAAAAAGTATCAAGAAAGGAATCTAAAGCTCCTAGTTCCTCTTAAAGAAGTACATTTAGAAATTGCCAGGAAGAATAAAGAAACTTAGTTTCAATAATTAAAGAGTTAGGTATTAATCATTGCTATTTTGAGAACTTATAAAGAATAGGATTATAACTGCATTCACATAATAAAGTTGACATACAGATTACTCAGAAACTGATATACACCTAAAAATGATACTCTAGGTATCACAGTATACTCAGCTGATCTCGTATTGTTCAGAATTAATCACTGGGTTCAAGTCTCTTACTTTGTAACCATGTGTTTGCTGCTGGCTAGGACACAGTAAGATAAGATGTACCTAGCTAGATATGAAACATTTTACTTGCTATGTAATGATATGGGGTAAATGTCAATGACATCGAGGGAGTGGGAAAGAAGAGAAACTAGAATGTTAATGGTTCTTGGAAAATGATTAAAGAGAAATGCTTTGAAATGGCTCATTAGAACCTGTATAAATAAAGATGGCCTGAGCTAATCAGGGCCACCAGTTTGAATGACAACCGGTGTTCAGACTCCTCAATTTTCACAGACGTCACATCCTTCCTGCAGCACAAGAACCCCCCTGGAGCTGGACTCTGGCACCCTGCCCTCAACCCCATTCATTGGCTCCTTACTTGGTGTCTACCTTTTGTATCCCCTGTCTTCCTCATTGTTGACCTTCTAGTCTGGATGGAAGTTTGAATGGTACTATCCACCAGAGAAGTCTGACTGCTGGCTAGGCTCAGCCATGGTGTTTGGAGCTACCTTGCTAGCTGGGGAGATGGATCAGTGGTAAATGCCTACCTTGTAAACACAAGGACCTGAGTTTGATCTCCAGAACCCTGTAAAAAGCCAAGTGTTATGCTCAGCCTAGATACAGAGGGTGGGGGAGTTTCGGTCCTGACCAAATGATGTGACAGATTTGATGATTCCCCATGGGAGGCCTCACCCTCTTTGAGGAGTGGATGGGGGCCAGTGAGATGGGGAGGTGGTGGGGGGAGTGGGAGAAAAGAGGGAGAGGGAACTGGGATTGGTATGTAAAATAAGATTGTTTTTCATTTAAATTTGAAAAGTAAATTAAAAAATAAAACATAATTACAAGAAGCACTAAAAAAAATAAAAAGCCAGGTGTGGAGCATACATGTATAACCCAGTACTGGCAGATGAGATGATGATGCAGGGGCTAGCTCATCAGCCAGCTCATCCTAGTTGACAAATTCCGAGCCAGGGAGAGACCTTGTCTTTTTGTTTGTTTGTTTTAAAAAGAGGGACAAAGCCTAAAAAAATTGATCTTTTACCTCTACATACACCCAGGAAAACACACACACACACACACACACACACATTTCTATCTAGTGTTTTCCTTGCTGTTCTATATCAGAAGGGCTAAAAAGGTCCACAGATAATGGAGGAAGAGCAACATGACCCTCATTCTTTTCTGAAGCTCATAATGTAAGAACAATGTAAGAGCAAAATAATGCTGATACCACTGGTTCAGACAAAAGATACTTTGTCAAGGCACCCAACAATGACTCCACTGTTTGTGGTCACACTTTGTACCCAAAGAGAGTGACCAGTATATGAATACAATATCTAGTTAGTCCTGGTGGTGATAAGGTGGTACAGTCAGATCATACATACATACATACATACATACATACATACTTACATACATACTTACATACATACATACATACATAGAACTTTTATATATGCACTTAACAACATGTTACAATAACTTGATGACAGGTTATATATGAATAATTTAAAGTTTTATTTAGGTAGACTAAGTTCTACCTAGTGGTGAGAAGTCCCTACCTTATCTGAGAAAATTAATACTTGTTCAAAACTGCCTGAAGGTTAAGGTGTCACAGCCAACATCATGCTACTGGTCCTGTTTCTGTTTGCCAAAAGAATTCTTTCACAGACCAGAGTTATTGTTATTTGCATCACCTGTGTTTTTTATTGCTCTCTGCTGAATGTTTGAAACCTTATTTTTGCTACAAAGCTCTCTGTTCCTGCAATTTCTATCCCTGTAAACATGCTTATCTAAAATTCCCTTTAACAATTAAGGAGTTATAATGCTACTTATTGTTGTGTATTGCTGTGTGTAGATAACATTTCACACATATAAGGCAACATTTCTCAGTAAACTGTTGTCATAATTGGTTTCAGATTAAGAAATGCCTAGGGCACTAGTAAGGCACACCTCTGGGTGTGACTCTGAGGGCATTTTCAGAGAGGATTAACATGGGGAGGTTGCCCTGAATGTAGGCAGCACCATCGCAGTAGCTGGAATCCTGACAAGAGCATGGTGAGCTCCAGAATTCCCTTTCCCCTACTTCCTGACCTGCAGCTAGCTGTCCCCCACATCTCACCTGCTACACTATGAGGATGGTACCCGCCCATCAGCCAAAACAAGCTTCCCTCCTTCAGGTGCAGCTTGTCAGGTACTTGGTCACAGTGATAAGAAAGCAGCTAATACAACTATTGTGGAAAGCATGTCACCCAAAGGGAGTAAACCAAGGAAGGAAGGCTGTGAGAGAGGCAGGGGATGTCACATCAGAGACCCTCTAGCCCTGCTTCCTTTCCCTCAGAATTGGTCCCCTGCAGCCTCTCTAAGGCAGAGTTAATGAGCCTTCCAATGGCCTTGAACTTGCGCCACCTCCTAACAGGTGCAGGATAAATTTATGATCCTCCCTAGTGCCTGCCCTGGTTCCCTTGGCATTCAGGTAAATCCAGGTAGCTCATGTGGTGTGGAACTACCCACACACCCTGAAAGCCTGTAAGACTAAGAAGCTGCCTTTGCTCTCGGGAGCTGTGGGGAACCGGGAACCTGTGGGTCCCATTGGTGCCTCTCATGGTTGTCTATGCCCATGCTGCTACAGTGCCCCTGCTAGCCAGGGAGTGAAGACTTTCCCTTTCAACTCCATGTGCTGTCTGCAGTGCACGGCCCCGTCTCTCCTAAAGCTCTCTCATGCCTCAGCCTGATCACAGCTGCCTGTGGTTGTGAGGCTCTGCATCTCTCCTAATAAAGCTTTTCTGAAAGGTAACTTCACGTCAGCTCCTTCCTAGGAACTTATCGGTCCCCTTCCTTCTAACAGATAAAAGCATCGATGTGGGAGAGAACTACAAGGGTCCCTCAGTGCACTGGGAAAGCACTGGGCTGATGACCATCAGGATCAAATAGGACCCAGCAACAAATGTTTCTTACTGTGTGTGTCTGTATGTATGTCTTTGTGTGTGTGTGTGTGTGTGTGTGTGTGTGTGTGTATGTGTGTGTGTGTCTGCGAATATCTGTCTATTTGTGCATGTCTGTGCAGTGTGTGTGCGTATGTGTTATTGAACCCAGGGCCTTTAGCCTTTATGCCAATAGACAGACTGAGTACTGTCATCCCCCAAATCCCTTCTATCGTGGCATCATTTTCTGTTTTGTTGTTGTTGTTGTTTTGTTTGAGACAAGGTTTCTTTGTGTAGCCCAAGCTGTCCTAGAACTCTCTCTGTAGACCAGGCTGGTCTTGAACTCTGCCTCCCTAGTGCTGAAACTAAAGGTTTTCACCACCACTACAATTGCAAACACCCAAGAAGTAATGTCATTCATCTTATACCCAAGTCTGTCTCCTACCCCAGAGAGGTTGTTCTATACTCACTGAAGCCAGACTGTGGCTCAGACCCCTGGGAGTGCTCAGCAAATGCTGGCAATATTGCCTGCCTCATACACTTAGAAATGTGCTGCTCTGCTAGGTGGTGGCACACACCTTTAATTCCAGAATAGGAAAGGCAGAGGCAGGCAGATCTCTGTGAATTCAAGGCCAGCCTGGTCTACAGAGTGAGTTCCAGGACAGCCAGAGCTGTTACACAGAAACCTTGTCTCAAAAAAAAAAACAAAAACAAAAACCAATGTGCTGCTCCTCTGTCAATCACCCTTGACAAGGATATATTAAATAGCTGATGATTGAAGAAAAACCAGGCTGCCCATTGGAAGACACCTGATGTCTCACTGTAGAGAAGAGAGACCAAACAACCAAACAGCAATCAGTACAGGCAGTATGAGAGAAAGGTGAGACTGTCCCTGTCAGCAAAAGCCTCCCACCCAAGTCACAGCGGCCCAGAATGGCCAGGAGCCAAAGCCCTGGATGAGCCAAGCTTCAGAGACTGTCTCTGTTACTGTGATTTATCAGCTCCATTTTCTGAGTCAGCCCTGCATGGAGCGTAAGGATTCTCCTCTCTAGCTCACATGAAATCCTCTGAGATTAGTTCTCATAGGTACTATACCAAGTGGGGAGCTTGACTAAATACATCCTCAAAGATCACACAGCAAGTGAAGGACAGGGCCCAAAAGGCCAGAAAGGAGGTGGTTAGCTCAGTGATAGGCAAGACCTTGGGTTCAATGCCTAGCACCAAAAGAGAAGGGCCCGAGTCTACTTGGTTCCAGGGTACCTGCTCTCCATCACCACAACAGCCAAAAAGAAAGAGGAAGGATTTCAAACAGAGAAGTGAATAACCACACAGATCTTAACTTCTCACCCATGCAAAGGCAAGTGTGGACGCACTTGCCTGGGATCCCAGCACTTGGCAAGCTAAAGTGAGAAGACTAAGGGTTCAAGGCCAGACCAGCCAGAGCTACCCAGAGAGACCCTGTCTCGAAAGAGAAAATGGAGAAATGGCAGGGCCTCCTCTAGGATGAGGACAATGCTGTCTGCAGCCTGCTAAGTGAGGCTGGTTAAATGAATCCACACATCAGATCTCTCTGCCAGTCACCAACACAGCTGCATCTGAAGGCACAGGTCTGAGACTTAAAAAGATTTGTTGGATGAAATGAATGGCCATAGCCAGATAGCTAGAAGCTTCTATTTCCCCACCTACAAAGTGGGACTACCAGAGCTTGCCTCCAAGACTCTAAGAGCATCATCACGGGGTGGACTAGTCATCACCACGCTATGTGCTGATCTGCACTGTCACATCTCACTTGCCTGACTTCCCGCTCTGAGCATGACACTCTCCGGGACCGGAAGCACACACCTAGGCTATTTTTTGTCCTGTTTGTAACTCTGTCACCACTCACTGTCAGCTGGGGAAATGACTGGCACCTAAAGTCAGGTGCAGGGGCTGAGGACACACCTGGTCACTGCGGGCCACTCCATAACGTAGTTCGTTCACAAAGTGCTCGCAGTTCTCACTGGTCAGCTTGTAGAGAATCTCCTGCCCCACCAGCTCTTCAGCCCTCTTGACTATCTTGCTTGGAGGCAGTGGGGTGTATTCGCTGTCATGTTTGTTATTGACCTGGTACTTGTCTCTCCCGGCCACGTCACGCAGCAGTTCTTTCTTCACTATGGCCTTGTCGGTCAAAGCAGACATGATGCTGGCTGCCCCAGCTCCTGCAAATTCACCTGCAGATCAAGAAAAAACAAAACCAAACAGAGGAGGAGTTGTTCCTGAACAGGGCCCCAGGGTTAGCACCATCCACAAGGGATGAGCAAGGTGGAAATAGGGGAGGCTTTAGAAAAGGTTCTTATGGTCCCTGAATCAGTATCAAGATGGAGACTAATAAAGTGACACGATTTACTGTGATGTTTTAGTGGTAGCAGTGCTAGTGAGGGTGGTAGTCAGTTGAGGGATGAGATAGGGTCTCACTTAGTAATGCAGGCTGGTCTAATCTGGAAATTATTGTGTAGTACAGCAGCTTCATATGCAGTCCATATGATGGGATGATAGCATACACCATCACCCATGGCTACTGGAGTGTTTGTTTGTTTGTTTGTTTGTTTGTTGGTTTTTCGAGACAGGGCTTCTCTGTGGCTTTGGAGGTTGTCCTGGAACTAGCTCTCCAGGCTGGTCTCGAACTCAGAGATCTGCCTGCCTCTGCCTCCCGAGTGTTGGGCGCCACCACCACCCAGCTGGAGTGTTTCTTTAACCAGGAGAAGCTGTTCTTCTGCACTGAAACTACTTCTTGACTCTGCAAATATGTGCCAGGAGCCCTCTTATCTTCCTAGGAAAGGAGAATGTAATCTATTGACTCCATATGGGCTGCAGTTCCTTGACCTCACCAGGTTGATGGCCTCAGGAAGGGAGGCTGCTCTTCTAGATTCCTGCCCTCCCAGGAAAAAGAGAAAGAGAAAGAGACAGAGAGAGAGAGGGAGAGAGAGACAGAGAGAGAGAGAGAGACAGAGAGAGAGAGAGAGAGAGAGAGAGAGAGAGAGAGAGAGAGAGAGAGAGAGAGAGAGAGGCAGAGAGAGGCAGAGAGAGGCAGAGAGAGAGAGAGAGCAAAACTCTCCAGCTGCTCCTCAAAAAGAGACCCAGAGGATGTGGTGGCAGCCCCGGCCAAGGTCCACAGGTGAGAAGTGACAACAAGGGAGGGACTAGAGGAAGGCCTTGGGTTCTGTAGGACCAGGCTGGTCAGTGACGGTCAGCTGACATAGCACAGAACCAGGCTCTCCTAACCCAACCACCCATGCCATGGGGAATGCGCACTGGGTATGGTGTCTGGAAAGGAACTATACACACAAGAAGTGGACCCGATAGCCCATTGGGCATCACAAGACTGATTCCCTGCCAGGAACAGGGCTTCCTGGGTACAGCAACATCACCTCGGTAACCAGGACAGGAACAGTCTTTAAATGTGACGCTGGGAGAGAGCATCAAGCAATGACAGGAAAGAAAAGTGCAGAGGCCAAGTGATCCTTCTTCCATGAAGTTAAAAATAGACTGAATTCTTGTGGCACATAAAACACTTGAACCGGCCATGATGGTACACTCCCTTGATCCCAGAACTCATGAGACAGGCAGGCAGATCTTTGTGAGTTCAAGGGCAGCCTGACCTACAAAAATGATTGACCAGCCTGACTCCTGTGTAGAGAAGCCTTTTCCTTGCCAGCCACTTTGTTTTTTCCCCACCAGTCGCCTGGGCTCTGCCGTGTTGCAGTCCCCAAATAACACATAAGACACTGTATTAATTATGAAGCTGTTGGCCTTGCTTATTTCTTACTGGCTAGCTCTGACTTAAGTATTTACTCCATAACTGCCAGTCTAAGTATTTCTCTTACCGGATGGACATTTTACTTCTCTGGCGGGCTACATGATGACTCCTTGTGTTTCTCCTACCCAGAGTCCTCCTGGACTCCTAGTCCCACCTATCTTGCTTCCCTATTGGCCAACAGTGCTTTATTGACATATATACAGGACTTCCCCATCAGACTCCATTTTAAGATAGGAGTCATCTTATTACATGATCAAAATAAATTCATTCCTGTTTTCTGTAAAACTTGGGTTTGACCATGTTTTCTGGAATCTGGCATGTTCTACACTCTACACCCAGACCCCCACCCTAAAAAGATAAGATGTTCTGCCAAATAATTTTTAAATGTTCAGCCAAGTTCCTTCATTACCAAAATTCCTCTAGAAACCTCCCAATTCTTAAAAACCCACTAGCCTTGCAGTTTTTAGGAGCTATATAAATCCTACCATCTCCTATGTTCAATGCTATTTTCTCAAACCCCACTTTAAGGGGACAGCCTTATCTGACAGAATACAAAGCTTGCTTAATTTGACCACAGAATTTGTTTAATGGTCTTTACTCTCATTCTGTGGGATTAACATAAGGAGTTCCAGACCACCTAGGATGGCATAGTGAGACCCTGTCTTTTGTTTTGCTTTGTTTTGTTTTGTAGCAGGATCCATGTAGCCCTACCTGTCCTGGAACATTCTATGTAGAACAGGCCTTGAACTCACAACAACAGAGATCTGTTGTTTTAGCTTTTTGGCACAGTAGCTGCACGCTAATCTACTGCTATTTCAGCCAGCAATTGCAAATCTGCAGTTACTTGCCTGCTTCTCTGGCAGTGACCAAGCCACTCAGGCTACAGCCTGGTGGGAATTCTGTTCACAGGCACCAGCTCTGCTACTGCTACTAAACTTAGCTTTAACTAAATCCCTATCATTCTATTTATATATAAGGCTCAAGATTCAAAGACTGGGGTGAAAACCTGCTAGCTCAGAGAGGTTGAGTAGCAACTAGCTAACCTTCTCTCCTTGCTGGCATCTCCCAAAGAGCGTATCCTTCTGCTCCACCAAACCAAAAAAGCCACGCTACTCCAAATCTCTCCCTATTCCTTCCAGGGCGTCTATCTCTTCCAGATGCCCTATGATGCTCTATGATCACTTTCTGTCGACTAGTTGCTAACTCAGCCTCCTGACCCAAGGTTATTTTATTTAATTAATGCAAATGCAAATGGGGTTTACAGTGTGATTGAATATCCCCCAGCAGATCTGCCTGCCTCAGCCTCCTAAAGGCTGTTATTAGAGAAGTGCACCACTATGCCCACCCAGCCATGAGACCCTGCCTTTAAAAATTGAAAACAGCTATGTGTAGCTGTCTACAACAGGCCTGGCATAAGACTGACCCTATCAATTATTCATGAATTAGGGAGGAACTCACAGGTCTCTACCCTCCCTACGGAACTATTGACTACTGGTGGATCTAGGGACAGGGCAGTCATTGTCTTGTATTGTGTACCTACTGATGAACCCACCAGGCTCCATCAGATAGTTCCAAACCCAGGGTCACACAGAGGACCCTGGTTAAACCAATGGGTCTCAACAAAAAAAAAAGAAAAAGTCATAAGTGTAGGAAAGGGATTTGTAGGGGGCAGTGATAAGGGTGGGATGACAATAATCAGGATGCACTTTACACATGATGACACTGTCCAAGAACAAATTCAGTAAAAAATTATAAAGAAAGAAAATTAAGCAGAGTCACGCCCAGATGCACACCTCAACCTCTCTACAAAGACCCCCTCTGTAAGTGTTATAGCTCTTAAGAGGAAAGGTTTCCCCAGTGCAAGTATTACAGCTCTGAAGGGAAAAGTATCCTGGCAGTTGGAAGTCAAGAAATACCACAAAGTCACAACGCACAACAAACCTCATACAAGAGATTTATCCAGAAGGAAAAACCCTGGAGGGTGGCTGTCTCTACTCCTGCAAGAAGCAGCAGAGAACTGAACAGAAGACGTGGTTTTTTTAGGGTTTCTTGGGGGATGGAGCTTTCCGGGGCTGAGACTTCCATAGTAGGGATTGGTGGGATTTCCAGTCCTGAGGGTGGGCTTTTTACTCTGTAGGGCAGAGCTTGACAGCCTGCATCTGGAGGGACTGGCTCCAGCTTTCATAGCCCTTAGAATGTTCTAATGGGCAGACCCTGGAAATTGGAGGTTCTCAGGGTCAGGGCCTGGCTATTCACAAGCCTTGAGGGGCTTACACCATGGCGTCTAAGGAATAAAACTCAAAAACCATGCTGGCACATCAGACTGCCTTCACATAAAGATTAGAAACAAATGGCTAAGCAAGGAGCAAGGAGAACCCAGGAACCACCTGTTGCCCACAGCATCACAAATCCTTTCCCAGTCCGTATGCCCAGCACAAGGAAGACCCTGGTGTTCTTACTTGGGGGAGCCAAGTGGATCACGTATCCATCACCGACATAGATGGCCCAGTGGCTGTACACAGGGCGGAAAATCTCAATCAGATCTCCAGGCTTTGGTTCTGGCTGCAAAACCAAGAACAGAACTATTAGTGATGATACCAGGGCAAGCTGGACTGAGAAGGTGCAGCCCCTTCGTCCCACCAATCAGCTTCATGTGGATGCTGGCCCTGCAGATCTGATGTTGGCTTACCTCACAAGGCCATGATCCAGGCCTGCAGGAAAGATGCCAACCCACACCCCACCCACCCCCATATGCCATGATTAAAAACTTCAAAATGAGGGCTGGAGAGATGTCTTAGCAGTCAAGAGTGCTTACTGCTCTTGCAGAGGACGGGGGTTAGGTTCCCAGCACTCACATGGTAGCTCACAACTATCTGTAACTCCAGTTGCCAGGGGATCCTATGCCCTCTTCAGACCTCAAACCTGGTCAAAAGTGCGTGGCTCAGAAGATCACAGGCAGAGGACCTGCAACTGTTGTACCTGTGTTTATGCACATAGATAGAAGCTTCTTCTGCAGCGGGCAAAAGTCAATGCAGAGACTGGTAACTTGGCCAACTTCTGAGAATAAGCAGCTATTGAGTGCTCAGCCCTAATGGGACATCTATGTCACCACCAAGCCACCCACCCAAGGTTCGGGGAATGTGGCAGAAGAACCAGAGGATGGAGAAAAGTGCTGTTGTCATCTGGACAGGACATGGCTGTGATCACTGCAGCTATGGTCATCTGTGTAAGACTTACACAAGAGCAAGGGGACAAGACCAGTCAGCATTCCAGCAGGCAGCACCAATTAGACTTAGTGGGTTACCAAAAACAGAGAAGAAAGACAAAGAAGAGGAAGAGAGAGAGAACATGAAGGAAAGAAAGGGTTGTGTTGGGGGAATGTCAAGGGGAAGTTGGAGGCAGATAGGATCAAGATACACTGTATACATGTATGCCATTATTAAAGAACAAATAAAAAACATTCCTTAAAAACTGCGAAGCAAAAGGTCTCTTCATTAGCTTTGTCTTTTTAGTGTTCTTGCTACAAATGTTACTTACTGAATTCCTGCTCAAGGTGCTGAGGCAGGATGATCAAGAATTCCAGGCTAAGAGGCGGATCTCTGTGAGTTTGAGGCCAGCCTGGTCTACAGAGCGAGTTCCAGGACAGCCAGAGCCGTTACACAGAGAAACCCAGTCTTGAAAAGGAAGGAAGGAAGGAAGGAAGGAAGGAAGGAAGGAAGGAAGGAAGGAAGGAAGGAAGGAAGGAAGGAAGGAAGGAAGGAAGGAAGGAAGGAAGGAAGGAAGGAAGGAAGGAAGGAAGGAATTACAGTAAAGAAATGACTCAGCAGTTAAGAACCCTGACTGCTCCACCAGAGGATTCAGATTTGATTCCCAGCACTCACAAGATGGCTTACAATTGTCTAACTCCAGTCCAGGGAGATCTAATGTCCTTTTCTGCCCTCCCTCAGGCATTAGACACCCATATGACACACAGACATACATGCAGCCAAAATACCCATACACATAAAATAAGTAAATAATTTTTAAATGACTTCTATGCTAGCCTGGGCCACATAACGAGACCCTGTCTGAAACCTCTTTCTTCATACCCCACTCCCTTTGAGGGCCATTTGCTTTTCTTTGCTTTTCTTTTCTCTTGCAGTTTTTATGGCTTTATTTAAACACAAATAAAACACGCACACCAGCCACATACTCATTTTCTTCGCTGCGTAGCCTGGCGTTGGGATTGGTGACTCTGATGGCCGGCTGTGCTGTTCTTTCTCTGATGGCTTTTCAGTTCTTGGAGGAAACTCTGTCAACAATCTCAGCACTCTAAGATTTGTTGCACATCAACAGCACTTCCAACTCCTTGACATTGTGGACCAGAAACTTCCGGAAGCCACTAGGCAGGACATGCTTGATTTTCTTGTTGGTCCTAAACCAATTTTGGACATCAGGATCTGGTCCTTGAATCTTCTCCCCACCCCGCTGTCAACACCTCTGGGTCTCTGCCAGTTTCCCTTAATTTTGACATATCAGTCTGACTGGTGTGGGGGATTGAACTTCTCAGTTCTCTTTTTAATGACCTTTGCCTTCACCAAAAGCCAGAGGGCAGCCATGATGCTCTCAGGTAGCACCAAGGAAGGGGGCCATTTTCTTTCAAACCACCACAACAAAGGAACAATATCCAAGACTATTATTGTGAAGTTATGTGAAGGTTTTAAAGGCACAAACCATCATTGCCTCAACTCTGGAGATTTCTTTTGCTACATAAGGAGTTATCATGTTTTGATTTGTTTTGTTTTTTTCTGAGAGAATAGCAGTTAAGTGAGATTACAGAAGCAGATTGGGTGCCTGATTAATATTTTAGGAAAATAATTGCACGATAAGGGCAAGAGAGGACATTTTTGATAAATGAACCAGGTGGCTCTGAGATCAGTCTCCTCTTAGATTGCTGTCAAGATTCAACTGATGATGGGTCATGGTCTAGACACCCTGTGGCTAACAATCAGGCTAAGAAAAGGGTCCTGCTGACTCGTAGTTTTTTTCCACACAGTAACTTAGTTTGAAACTCAGATTGAAATGGAGCTAGCTAGTGTTTGAACACTACATTATCTTCTGGCCTAGGAACAACACACACACACACACACACACACACACACACATGATTTTTTAGATTTATTTATTTTATGTATGAAGGCTATATCTACTTTTACACCTGCATGCCAAAAGAGGACATGAGATACCATTATAGATGGTTGTGAGTCACCATGTTGGTGCTGGGAATTGAACTCAATACTTCTGGAAGACACAGTGCTCTTAACTGCTGAGCCATCTCTCCAGCCCCCACAAATAATTTTTTTAAAAAATCTAAAGGGGGCTGGAAAGATGTCTCAGTGATTAAGAGCACTGACTGCTCTGCTAGGGGATCCAGGTTCAATTCCCAGCACCCACATGGCAGCTCACAACTGTCTGAAACTCCAGTTCCAGGCCATCTGGCATCTTCATACATGCAGGCAAAACATCCGTGCATATAAAATAAAAATAAAGTTTAAAAAAATCTAAAGGGGATGAAAAAGTGGCCCAGCAGTTAAGAGTGCATACTGTTCTTGCAGGTCACCCAAGCTTGGTCCAGAATATGAATATGAGGCAGCACACAGGCACCCGTAATACCAGGACCAGGGGATGATGACTCTGGCCTCCTCAGGCATCTGCACTCATGTCACACAGATACACACACACACACACACACACACACACACACACACACACACACACACGCATGCACACACACTTAAAAGTAAAATAAATTGTTTTTAAAAATAACCTTTCTGGGCAGTGGTAACTCACACCTTTAATTCCAGCATTCAGGCAGGTGAATCTCTGTGAGTTCAAGACACCCTGTTCTACAAGAGCTAGTTCCAGGACAGGTTTCAAAGCTACACAGAGAAACCCTGTCTTAAAAACAAAACAATAATAATAATAATAAAATAAAAAATAACCTAAACTGCTTGTTATCTAGCCTTGTACAGAAAAAAAAAATTCCAATCTGATGGACCAACCTGACTCCATCTTAAAGTTAAAAGCCATTTTGCTATAAAGTCAAAATAAGTTCATGTCTGTTTGCTGCAAAATTCAAGTTGACCATGTTTTTAGCATGTTTCTGGAGTTTGACATACTCCCCCACCCTAGGGAGTTTGACTCATACCTCAGACACATTCTAGCTTAATAAGATGTTCTGGCTGAGCAGTGGTTGCACATACACTTAATCCCAGCGCTTGGAAGGCAGAGGCAGGAGGATCTCTGTGAGTTTGAGGCCAGCCTGGTTGACAAAGAGAGTTCCAGGACAGACAAGACTACACAGAAAACCCTGCCTCACAAAAACAAACAAACAAAAAATGTTCTGCCAAACTGATTTGTCAAATAATCTAATCTGACTGCTTTAAAATGTGCTTGCCAAATCTTTACATCACCAAATCCCTTTGAAAATCCCCAGTTTACACTTTTTCCTATAAAAGAGGCCTGAAAAGTTAACTCACACTGCCCTCTCAAACCCCAAGAGTTAGAGAGTCAGTCCTAGGCATAGCAAATAAAGCTGTCTTACTGGCTTTAATTGGGTGGTAGTTTTTATTCTTACTTGGTAGGATCAACATTCTTAGAGGCCCCATCGAGATTAGTGCCCAACCCAAACTCACAGACCCCTCAGTAGGGAGAGATTCTACCTCTGGGACTGCTTCCACTTGGGGTGCACACCTGATGAAGTTCATACTAAGGCCTCCCCTTCTGTGACATCTGGTGGGGTACTGTCTGGGAACAGCAAGGTACCTGATGAGGTACACGAAATCCTGTCCAGGGCACAAGTGAGACATCTTTCTGGGTGTGTGGGTTTTGTTTGTTTGTTTGTTTTGGGGGGCTTTGGGAGGGTTGTTTGTTTTGGTTGGGGGTTGGGGTTTTTTTTTTTTTTTTGGTTTTGGTTTTTTGGTTTGGTTTGGTTTGGGTTTTTTGGCACCTAATTCTTGGTCCCCCATGTCTTGTTCTGCGTTTTGTTTGTCTTTTCTGTTTCTTTACTATAAGTCTTTACTATGAGTTTGGGGCAACTGGGCAGAGAAACAGAATGGGTAACAGGACTGGTAAACCTGACACTCCTTTAAGCTGTGTTTTGAGGAACTCTGACAAACCTCACCCTCCTATAATTAAGCAGAATTGTGATTATCCTATCGTCAAGGATTGCCTCCAACCTTTGTGTGAGCTGGAGGGGTTCATATTTGGTGTTGAACAGCCCCCAGAGGTATCTTCAGCTCCCAGGTAGCCTGGGCAGTGACTAACACCACCCTTGGTGTTCTTGCCACCCCGACCAGATCCGGTATATTGTACCCCGGGCAGAGGCAATATCCAATCTGCCCATGGCTGGAGGTTGGTATGGTCTGAATGGGCAAGGTGGTCAAGCCCTGGTCACAGCAAGGAACTCTCTAGAGACCCCTATCTGGGGATCAAAAGCCCTCCAAAAATCCAGTGCTACGGGGCTCTCAGGAGGACCCTCCCTTTCCCCCATACACTCCTCTTTACCCTCCACTGACCCCATC